CCCGCAAAATAGGAGGTATTTTGTTATCTCTATTTTCAAAACTGAGGGTTTATCTTCACTGGGTTGCCAGCGCTTAATTTCATCTGGCCACAGTGCTTCTTTCTGAAAGTCCTCTCTGAAGTACTCTCTTCCTAGTTCTAAGGACAGTTCATCAGTCCCCTGGTTTCCTTTCTCCTTCCAGCACAGACATACCTAATCTATAGCAGAGCCTTCCCAATCCTCCTTACCCCTCAGAAGCCCCATTGGTACAAGGTGGGCAAGTGCACCATACCCTAGTATTTCATTACCTAGTATTTTGAACAAATCTAGGAAGATTAGTGTGCTATGCTTTACAAGGTAAACCTCAACAATATTAAAAATTTACAAGATAAGCACTTAAATTATACAGAAAATGTTGTTCTGCTATTCTTGTCTATACACAGCCAGTAGCTTCTGAAGACCAGACAGCAGCCTTGATGGCCCATCTCTTTGAAATGGGATTCTGTGACAGGCAGCTGAACCTAAGGCTGCTGAAAAAACACAATTACAACATCCTGCAGGTTGTGACAGAACTCATTCAGGTCAACAACGACTGGTACAGCCACTGCTATTGAAGAGCTTCCTGTATTAAATAACTGCCTGCTGCTCAGAGATGATCTTTATTCTGTTCTTGGGGTCTGGGATAGAAACCCTTGTTCATTTTTAATCTGCTGAATACTTATATACTCCATCATTGAATTATCAAGACAATGCCTGCAATACATACAGTATATGCTGGATCCAGTTAAAGACGAGAACATCAATTTTAACTTTAGACATTGGATGAATTGTAGGAAGACAGTTTTTAAACTGATTTAGATAAAACTCCTTTCTCCACTTTAGTGTACTGAAGAGTATAATTTGAACCTCCAGTTTTCTTTCTGCTTATATTGAACCTGAGTATTTTTGTGTAATGTGGATGTTTTTTATGGGGATATCTGTTGTCAATTTTTAAGCAAAAAATGAACATTGGAAGAAAGGCTATCAGTTGTTTTCAATAACTATTCTTATAATTTCTCTAACACTACCCCAAGCCTCCTAGCCACGTGGATGGAAATGACACCCAGAGCATGACAGAAACATTGCTACTCTTCCTATCTCAAGGAGAAAGTCATTTCCCTGCAAGACTTAGCAACCAAGAGACCAACTGATGTATTTAAGAGTATCCACCTTCTAGGTCTCCGCATTTCAATGAAAGGAAGGAGGAGCCTGCTAAATAATTAGCCCACCAGCACCTATTGAGCTATGTCTATTGTAGTAATTTTGCACACATTTTTCTTTAAGGGGAAAAAATTGTTAAGTAGGTAGTGTTATATATTTTGCTAATCCTATAGGAGACGAAAAGAACCCTTCTATTACTTAAAAAAAAAACCCAAACACATCACCGTCGAGTCAATTCCGACTCATAGTGACTCTGTAGGGCAAAGCAGAACTGCCCCATAGGGATTCCAAGGAATGACTGGTGGATTCAAACTGCTCAACCTTTTGGTAAGCAGCCACACTCTTAACTCACTTCGCTAACTCACTTCCCTATTACTTAAAGGGAAAAGTAAATTTAACAATTACCTTTTTTTTTTTTTTAATGTCAGGGCAGATCTTATTTTACAGCAGAGTAGGGGGAAACAGAAATGTGAATGAAAGGCAGGCTCCTATGTTAATCTCAGTAAAATTCACGGGTGGGCAAGTGAGTGTGTGTGAGGTATAGGATATTCTGGTGAGTTCTTGAATGTGTTAAGTCTGTTTAAAGGTATTTGCCCTACAGAGAATAGAATAGTATTTTGCAAAAGTTGGGTTGGGAACAAACTCACTGAAAAAGTTTTGGTTTAATCTTAGGATGAGTGGGAAAGAGCGTGCTTCTTAGAGCCCAGGTCCTTACTCTGTTTACAGAAGGGAGTCTTGGGTGCAGTTGACAAAGGGAGAGAAAGAGTAACAAAAAAAGTTAGAGATTTATTCATGAAAATGATTGTTCAAGAAAACGAGAAGCATCTGACCCGCAGCCCGAAGGGGTAAGGATACTTAAAATAGTATTATTTAACCTGATTGGTATTTATAATGAATGGTGATCTTAATTAATCATCAGCCATAATGTTTATTTACAGTATACTGTTGAATGCTATTAAATAAACCAGGAATCAGGCTGTTGATTATTTAAAAGGTCCTGATGGGGCTTCTGGGTAGAAGGCTGAGCCGCAGGTGTGTGTTATTGGAGTGCGTGGAAACCCTTCCTGGCCGGACCCGTCTTGACCACCTGAGTCGTACTGTAGAAGTCCAACAGAGCCGTAGGTCCGGTCGTCCACCCTACTTGCACATAACCACTCAAAGAATGATGACATAAAGGTCCTTTGACTCCTACCAGGAATGGCAGGTCCATGAGGAAACCGTGTTGACACCTTCGAGCTTGAAGAGCAGGACAGCTTCTCTCCATGACCACGTGGAGAGCGCGAACCCAAGGAGGAAGGACCTGGCTTAAGGAGAGGAAGGGCAGGGCCGGAAGAGAGAATGGGCGGCCCCTGGAGGGGAGGGGCCAGGAAGGAGGGGCAGGGCCAGAGGAGGAGGGTCTAGGCCTAAGGATGGGGGGCGGGGCCAGAGGAGAGGAGGGGAGGACCTTGGGCGGGGTTTCCGGTGGCAGGAGTTAAAGCTTTCTACGGAGTTTGGCTTTTGCGCTTTCAATGCTGCTTGTAGCACTTTCTGTGGCTGCCATCGCCTTGGGGGTAAGATACTCCCGGAACCCTCCTAACCTCCTTTCCTTTCCGGGGGCCAGGGCCAAGGGGCCCTGTGTGCCTTCCCCTAGCCCAACACAGCTACATGCGGGTACCAAGCCCAATTATCTGTGTTTCTGGTGGGACTTGAGATCCTCCCTCAGTGAAGTCCCAGCTCTTCATCTGCACCTGCCTCACTGCCCCGCTGGCCAAACCCTAAGAAGCACTGGAAGCACCTTTGGTTTCCTTGGAGACCAAGGTCCCTGCTCCTTTCCATGCAGCCTACTCGCTCTCCCAGGACCCTGCAGAAGGGGGCCAGTGGCAGGTGGCCCCAGCACGTGGCCCCAGTGCCACCCTGCCCCAGAGGTCCTTCTCCCCAAAGACACACTCCAGAAACCCTGTCCTCTTGCAGCTGAGAAGAGTCACAGAGACCCCAGACCTGAATCAGGTGAGGCTCACTTTATTTTAGCCCAGGTTCCAGGGGCCAATAACCTAGTAAGCAAGGTAAGTATGGGCTTACTTGTGCTTACTTACTAATCTGTAGTGAACAATTTCACATGGGTTTCACCATTTCAAAGGTGTAAAAATGGCGCGGTGGCAGCTTCAGACCACCTCGTCTAACTTGAAAAGGGGGAGAGGAAATCATTATCAGCATCAACAGCCCAAGGCTGATTCCTGTGAAGTGGAGATCAGGTATGAGGCTCCTCCTCTCTCCAACCTTTGTAAGAATCCTGGCACCAGCCCTCCTAAGGCACTCTACTTCTCTGCTGGGTTCACTAATTCTTGCAGTGGCCACACACAACTCACAGACAGTGCTCAACGACTGTGGCGTTTATTAGGGAAGTAAACCAAAAAAAACAAAAAACAAAAACAATACCAAGCCTGTTGCCATCGAGTGGATTCCGAGTCATAGGGAAGTAGCAGGTTACAATTCAGGACGGGGACAGATTATCCAATAAGCAAGGTACACACAGGCTTACTTGTGCTTACTTATCCTTAATGTACAATTTCACTGAAACCCAGGTGAAATGGTGCACTACAGATCCGTAAGTAAACATTAAGCTTGTGCGTACCTTGCTTACTGGTTAATTCACCCCTGATTCAGGATCAGACCCCTAGTGGTGGCAGTGGTTAAGAGCTCAGCTGCTAACCAAAAGGTCAGCAGTTCAAATCCACCAGCCGCTCATTGGAAACCCTATGCGACAGTTCTTCTCTGTCCTATAGGGTCACAATGAGTCGGAATTGACTTAATGGCAATGGGTTTGATTCAGGATCAGAAATGACTCAGGATACAGTTCTTTAATCAGGAGAGCCTCTTCTCAGCCATGCCCGCAGGCAGGCCTCTCTTTCTCTCTGACCCTTGGCCCATTGGCCGGCCTTTGCCCCGCTAGGGCAACTGTTACAGATCTCTTTAGCTCTGCTAGTGAGTGCCCAGGGGACACCCCTCTCCACCAGTAAGCCTTGGCCCGAAGGTGCTCTAGGGGTCTGCACACCCACTGTAGCTGCCTCACGCGTTGGGCTGGGAAGCCCACTGTGTTGTCTCGCACAGGTCTCCTGGTTCTGCTGCTGCCAGTTCTCTACCATACTTCCCGCCACTTCTTGCAGTCTTGTGCTGTCTTTGGTGTTACAGCTCTCTGTCTCCTGGGTCTAGGAGGTTCCCAGTGCAGGGGTCCCAGGTCCAAAGGTTTCCCAGCGACACCTAGCTCCCTTCTTTTTTCCTTGTTTCAAAGGGTCCTTGTTTTTCTATTAAGCCAGCATCTGTCCAGGCTTAGGAATGGAAGCTTTCCTTCCACGACTGGATTGGGATACCTCAGCTATTTCTGCCTTGGTGCTCTAGAGACCTCTTCAGGACAGTCTTGTTGAGAGGCTGAAGGGACTCTGCAGACTGCTGCAGCCCAGCCCTAGGCAACTTCCTTCCCTCAAAGAGAATGACAGCTCAGCAACTTTCTTGGGGGCGGGTGGGGGGGGAAGCTCTGCCATTCACTTATGGAAGTCCCTTAATGTGAAATAACTTCTGCTTTTCTTTTCCCTCTTGTAGGCAGACTGAGCTCTCCTACAATGAGGAAAGGAGCTGAAGTGCATTGCGATTTCTGATGTCAAAGTCCTGGGTAACGGCTCCATTTTCCATACCCTGTATTCCTCAGGCTTGCACTTGCTGGAGCCTCGTGGTGGGGCTCTTTGTCTAACTTAAGAACTTAAAACTACAGTGACATTCCACGTTAGTGCTAACAAGCTGAGCACTGAACTTTTTTCTTGTCTCATTAGTGAAAATTCTTCTGAAAGATGGATGAGACCTTCTCCCAGCCGGGCTCTTGGGAGGATGAGAGCAAGTCGACCCTGTCCCCAGACCCAGCCATTGACATCAAAGCCACCACCTACTCCAGCACCAGTAGCAGCAAGTGCTTTATTTCATGTGTGCCTTGTGAAGGGGCTGTTGGTGGAGGCTTTTTGACTTGTCCCACCTGCCAGGGCAGTGGGGAGATTCCCCGAGGTGAGTAGGCCAAGGCTCTGGAAATAGCCTGAAATCCAGGAAGAGCTCTGAGCAGGCCCAGGGCCAGACCCCTGAATGCTCCTTGAATGAGGTTGGGTCTGCTCCCAGCTCTTGGTCACCCAGTCTCAGGCTGGTCAGAGCTTGCTGCAGAGATCCCCTCCTGCCCTGGTTGTATCCCCAGCTGGGGTTTTCAGCCACTCTGCTCTCCCGAGCAAAGCTCTATGCCTTAGGATTCAGAAGTTACAAATTACCTCTCCAAAGCTGGGCATCTCTGATTTACTGATGACTTTCAGAGATTCCTCACACCTGTAGTGGCAGTTTCATTTCCATTCTAGAGATGGAAAGCTGAGCTGACTACTTCAGTAGTGCAGCTCAGTGTTCCCAGTCCTGCTGGGGTAGGGGATGAGGGAGCAGAGGCGCATGCTTCTGACACTGCTCTGTGAGGTCGACGGGTCTTTCTGGGAGGCTGGTACAGGAGACATTGGTCATGGCTACCTCTTGGCCCTCCCTCTCTCGCCCTTCTCTCTACAGAGATGGAGAAAGAGCTGGTGGCCCTCATCCCCTGCGGGGACCAGAGGCTAAAGCCCAGACACACGTAAGGCCCTCTTTCTCCCCCGGCTGCACAGGCTGTTGTCCCATGGGGGCTGGTCCTCTTGTTTGTCTCCCCCATTCTATGGCTTCCAACTTTTCTTCATTGGTTCTCTCTCAAAGAGCCCGAGCCTTACTAGGCTCAGTCATACTAGCTCCTGTTTCCAAGGATTTTCCAGGTTTCTGAAGCCCCAGGCACAGCAGACGCTCCCTTGGTGTCCTTCCATGAGCATCACTGCTCCCCTCTGGCACACACACAGAGGACCTCTTGGCTCTGCAGGTCCTCCCAAGAGGGAGGGGGTGGCCCTGGCAGAAGTTGCTTTGACCAAGTTCTTTCCTAAGAGCTTCCCCTTGCTGTGGCAGTTGAGGCCAGCTTGTTCTCTTTCCAGTAGAGATGGAAAACAAGCTGTTCCCCATGCTGGGACACTTCAGAGCCAGCCCTGGGTTTCACTGGGGGCCCTGTGACTCTAATTTTCACCTGGGTCCATTTGACATGAATCCCTGAAACCTTCTGAGGTTGAAACCTTCTGAGGTCCTCAGCTTCAACCTGGGAGCCCCCACCCAGCCCTCCCTGGCCACTGCACCAGAATCAGAAACTGGCAGTGCCTCTCCTAAGACACTAACGAGGTGCTGTCTCTTTCATTGTTGTTGTTGGTTGTGGTTGAATTGTTCTGACTCATGGTGACCCCATGTGTGCAGAGCAGAACTGCTCCATAGGGTTTTCAAGGCTGTGATTTTTCAGAAGCAGATCATCAGGCCTGCCTTCTGAGGTGCCTCTGAGTGTATTCAAACCACCAGTCTTTCAGCTGGCAGTAGAGTGCTTAACCATTTGTGCCACCCAGGGGCAACTGTCTCTTTCATGCATATCTCAGTTTTGAATTGGATGGATGGATGGTCTCCTGTTCTGAATATTAATGTTAAAATTCAAAACTTTCAAAATTCCTGTGGACATATTTCTACTAGTGATAAGAGCTGACGTTTGTTGATTAAGAGCTGAGCTTTTCCTATGTCTGAAGACCTGGGATTAGTGCTTTTCTATGCATTAAAGACCAATTGTCATTGAGTTGATTCCTACTCATTGCAACCCCATGTGTGTCAGAATAGAACTGTGCCCGCAGGGTTTTCAATGGCTGATATTTCTAAGTAGACTACCAAGCCCTTCTTCTGAGGTGCCTCTGGGTGGATTTGAACCTCCAAACTTTTGGTTAACAGCTGAGCACGTTAACCATTTGTACTTCAGGGATTCCTTTCATACGTTAGCCCATAAGAAATTCTATGAGGTAGGTACAATTATTGGCTCCATTTTACAGATGAGGAAACTGAGGCTTAGGGAGGTCAAGTGGGTTGCTCAGAGTTATTTGCTGGTAGGTACAGAGAGCTGAGAATAGAAGCCACACTGCCTGCCCCCCTGTCCTGTGCTCCTACGCACTCTTAGCCACGTTGGAGCCTGCGCTTGTCTTCCGCATCTGGGAGCTAAATGTGTAGTTGTAGGAAGGAGAGCGAGGGGAGAGCCTTGTGGCTGGGAGGAGTGTCTGAACCCTCTTCCTCAAGTTCTCTATGTTCAGACCTCCCCTCTACCCCGGGTCCTGCTCTCCCGCAGGAAGCTCTTCGTGTTCCTGGCAGTGCTCATATGCCTGGTGACCTCTATCCTCATCTTCTTTTTCCTGTTTCCCCGGTCCATCAATGTGCAGCCTGCAGGCCTCAGCTCCTCCACAGTGGCCTTTGACGAGGCTGCTATCCACCTCAATGTAACGGTGAGTGGATGCTCCCGGGCTCCAACCCCACTTTCCGAGCAACCCTTCTCTGCAGCCTTTGTTCAGTATTGTGACCCTGGGCATGGGTAGCCAGGGATCTGATGGCACCCAGAGGGAGAAGCAGGGGCAGCCATGATCCCCATAGAAGATTGTGCAGGGTTGAGACTGTATACAGTGAGAGGCCAGAATCAAGACTAGATAAATCATAGGGTGAAAGGAGGGGTGGAGGTGCCTGCCTGAGACTCTGGGGTAGGACTGAGTGGAGAGAATCCATGTGGGTTGGAGAAGAGATCCTAAAACAGGTTAATGTCTTAGTTAAAGCTGAACCCTCATCATTAAACTCCCCTCTAAGGGGCTCCCCGCTACCAGTCCTCCACACCTGAGACGCATCATGGGGGTGGGGCTCAGTCAGGCTGGGGAGCCCAGTTTCTGCAGCTGTTGGCTTTTCCCTCAAAGATGGCCACTCTCATCCCTCCCTTATCTTCATCCCCAGAATGTCTTGAACATCTCCAATCATAACTACTACCCCATCACTGTGACCCAGCTGGCCATCCAGGTTCTCTACATGTCCCTCGTGGTGGGGCAGGTCTCCGAGAGCCTCCTCCTGCCCATTGGCCCTTTGGCCAGTGAACAGGTGACTCCTGTCTCCCTGGCCAGCCTGCCCACTGGTGGGTGGGTATGTGTGGTGGTGGGAGGGGAGCAGCCAGCGTTGGCGCTCACCCTGTGCCCGTTTGGTTGGCAGATGTTTTACACAGTGGCCAGCAGAATATGGGATGAAAATACATAGTGAGTATCCCTTGACTTTCTCCATTAGGGGCTTTCCTGCTTAGCAAACCCTGAAGCCTATGTTTGACCTGCCCTCTTGTGGCTAAGACTGCAATGTGCAAAGGTTCAGTTGCCCCAACCTCTGCTGTTTAGACTTAGATTGGGACAGAAAACAGGCTAAGTTTGGTTGATCCCTACAGTATATGACCTTGAGCTCTTCAGCCTAACTTCCTGAGAAAGATGAGTGACTTGCTTTCTGTCAAGGGTGGGGCCAGAAGGTGGCTGGGCCAAGCAGGCAGGGGCTGGGGAGGTGATGTTGCAGCAAGAGTGCCATGGTCACCTTAGGCAGAGGGAAAGGCGAAGGGTGGGAGCAGCATCTTGCAGGCTCCTGATGGAAGGGGGCCAGGAGGGGAGGGGAGGAGTCTGGGACCTGCAGGTCTCCTGTGAGCTTTCTGACAGGCAGCTTCATGTGAAACGGGGTCCCATGTTCAGTCTTTCCCTCTCTCTCTCAGCAAAATGTGTACCTGGCTGAAAATCAAAGTCCATCATGTGTTTTTGCACATCGAGTAAGTAGGGTTTCGGGCCCTGGTCTCCCCCCACCCCTACACTCCGACCCTGGACTCCTGTCACATTTCAGCTTCCTCTCAGAGTCATCCAAGCTGACTCCAGGAATCTTTGTTGGCTCTTAGGAATAGCAAGCTCAGCCCCTTCTCTAGGTCCCACCTTGGTGGAGACAGCCACAGAGTTGTCTAGAAGCTGCTGGGACAGGTGGGGCAGTTGTCCCAGGTACCTTGGCAGAGTAAGGAGCAGAAGGAAGGGGGAAGGTGCTGTCTAAAAGAGCTGACCCTCCCCAGACAGCACAGCCGGGCAACAAAGCCTCCTCCTTCTCCAGGGGCATCCTGACCAGTTCCTACCTGAGCCACTCGGAGCAGCTGATTTTCCAGAGCTATGAGTATGTGGACTGCCGGGGAAACTCTTCGGTGCCCCACTTGCTGGCCCCTTACTCACAGTGACCTGTCTTCTGTCACTGCACTCTGGGTACCTGCCATCCTGGTCTGTATCTCCCACAACTCCCATTGTACTGTAGGGACTTTGCAAAAGAAAAACCCCTGCCTTATCCTCTCCTCACCACCACCCCCATACGCATGCACACACACACTCACACCCTCTGACTTTCCACAAGAAAGGAAGCTTGGCTCCTCCGTGGGCTGGAATCTGATTCTGCTCTTGGTCTGCCTTCAAGTCCCTGGAGTGGCACCTGCATTTTCTGTGCTGAGCATCTTGCTGGCTGAGTTCCCCGGGGCTGGCTGTCCTCCTGCCTGAATGTGAAGAAAGCTGAAGTTATATCTGGCTTTCCAATAGACCCTCTCCTCTTTCCTGGTACTCCAGCACCAGATAGCCCCAAGGTGCCCACTGGGCTCCATGTGGAGGTGGTTTATGTTCTTTAGCTGAGCAGGAATAGTATTTGCTTGCTAAAGGGTCAAACAGGTGGAGAGAGGCATAGGTGATGGTGAAAGTGAATGTGAAGTCGGATGAATGGAGAGGGGAAGGTGGCAGAGCCTGGTAACTAGCTGGCTGGGAAAGTGAGAGGAAGGAAGGAGCCCATGCCATCTCCAAGCTTTCATGCCTGGGTAACTGGGTAAAAGTGGTGCCAGCAAGAGCAACACATCCAATGAGGCCAGGCTGGAGCTTCTTCTGTGCCTAGGTCACCAAATGTAAAGGGTTTATGTTGTATTCAATAAACTACACTTAAACAGTGTCTAAAAAAGGAAAAGTCTCCTGTGAGTGGGAAGGGCTGGTGGACACATCTGTTTTGCAGCCTGTTTTATGTCCAGGTGGATGTCAAGTTCTCCCCCGGGCCTCTGAGCCCCTCTGAGAACATAGTCTGCTTTTCTGGCTTCTGAGAGATTGTGTACAGCAGCTTGCTCACTCTTGCTTTCTATTTAATTTTGTTTATCTCTAATATCCCTTCCAACTTTAATTGGAATCCCATTCCTGTTCTGTCCCTCCCTGCTTGCCCTAAATACTTCCCTCAGGACACATCCCTGGATTGCACTGAGGTGGACTCCTTCAGTCTGGCCCAAAGGCAATGCTGTGCAGGCTGCAAAGAAAAGACCCTTCAGAACCATCAGTCCTGGTTTGTGATTGGGGTACCCAAGGCAGCCTTTCTCTGGGATGGTGGAGGAAAGTACTTCCAGAGTTTGTATCTTCCTGAAGCCCAGGGTCCCCCAGCCCTGCCCCTCTTCCACCTTGGACTGGTGAGAGAGGTGCCTGTGACCTTTGCCCTTTGGATCCCCTTGATCTTCTCTGCTAAATTGAAAGACTGAGACCCAGGAAGAGCATGGCTGTACATTTTAGTAGACAAGTCTCCCTCCCCTGCCCAGGGCCAGGTTTCCTGCAGGGCTTTGAACTGTTTCTTCCTAGTTCAGTCATGGCCAAGGAGGTGACACCGGAAAAGACCTGAATTGTTAAAAATTTGGGTGACCTAGAACCATAACTGGAAAAGGAAAAAATATGGATTGAAGCCCTGCTAGAAACTTAATCTCCTTCTTAGAAAACAAAGGTAACGTAGGTGTTGCATAGCAATGAAATGTCTTGCCCTTTAGATTCTGCACAGAATCAGAAACAGTAGTGCCCAGCTTAAAGATGGCAGCCAACTGCACCACTTTGAAGGTGTGTCGTTCTCCTCCGTCCTGGCAATAATGGAGTCTCATGCATCAGGCTCCTGGAAGGGCTGACTACACTTCTTCCCAGTTTCCCATTCCAGGGCTTGGACCTGTAATTTTTCCCATCTTAGTTATGGTTCTGGATCACCCAAATTTTAAAAATTCAAGTCTCTACCAGTTTCACTTTGTCAGCCATGACTGAACTGGTTCAAACCAGTTTGAAGCCCTGGTTTCTTGTGCCTAAGGCTACAGCCCCCCTGAGCTCTTGCTCTCCATCCCTGCCCCGACCTCCCATTATCATTTCAGCAGATGAGTGCCTGCTGTGGACCAGGCATTGCCCTTGGCTCCAGACATCCTTGTCTGCCACCTCCCTGTTTGCTGCCCAGGCCTGCTCTGCAGTGACTCAATCCCTCCTTCCCTGGGCTGTATCAGTACATGTGGGATTGGAGGAAGGGGTGTTAGCTCCAGTGACAGTCACAAACCCTAAGTCCCCAGCAGATCTACCATAGATGAATAGGGGCCAGTAGTAGAGTTGCAGACTTGGGGAGTCCAAGGCCAAGTTCTCCCATTGGCTTTGCCTAGAGAAGCATGGAACTGCTTTGCACTCTCTTCTCCCACACTGTCCATTCTCTTCATAGGTTCTCTTGCCCCCCCGACTCACATCCCAGTCTCACAGAATTGACCAGTCTCTTGATTCTTTCCAGGAAGAAATCACATTTTATTTCCAGCTAGCAACCTCTTCTAGAGTGGATCAGCAAGGGGTGGGTTTTACAGTGGAGATGTTGCTGGGTGGTGAGAAGGTATGCTTGCTCCAGTGATGGCCAGTGGAGTCTTGTCTATTTCTGGATCACCATTTGCTGTTTGTAATTTGTTGACTGAGGAGAGAGACAGCAGGCAAAATAGGTTAGTTTAGAAGTTTCTGGGAGTGATGTCGGTAAGATGGTGGAGCCGGTAGCTCCATACTCCTGTGCCCCCACAGAAACATTGAAAAACAAGCAGAAGCTGTCAGAACCAACTTTGTCAGAATTCTGGAAAATTCTGAAACTGAAAAGTACAGTGCAGAAGCAAGCAAATGCTGAATCAAGAAAAAGGCAACTTAAAAACTGCAGGAAAGCTTTGAGAGTTTTTGCTTCAAGGTACTTCACCCCCTTCCTGGTTCAGCAGTCTTGAAGACAGCAGCCTGCAATCCCAGTATGGGTCCCCAGTTCTGGAGGGAGCAGAGTATACCTTTGCAAATTATTGTGTTCATCTGTTCTAACCTGTCTAGGGGACTACCTGAAGGACTGACACAAGGCACACATTAGTTTTGACTATCTCAAACTCACTTAGGTGGAAAAGCAGGGAGCATTCCCTGAAAACACTGTTAGGGCCAACAAACAATCCATGGCCACCTGAGGTAAAACCATATAGTTGAGACATACAATAGACCACCTAAGGTCTGGGAAGAGAAGCCAGGGAAAGAGTTTCTCTGGGAAATTAGAACATTCAAAAGCACCCATGTATGAATATGGGGGGGGCACTGACCACATCAGCCACGTAGATTAGTGTTGTTGTTATAGTCATTCTGCTTTCGTAAAAGAGACAGTGTGCAATAGACAAAAAGAATGTGACCACTGTACGAACAATATGCATAGGTAGCATCTAATAACAAACCTAACAACAACAACATTGAGTGATTTAAAATACTGCCAATCCCTTTGAGTAATCTTATTTAAAAGGGGAGTTACATGATGTACTGTGCAAGTGTATGAACATGTACATGTGAAGTTGTTTCAGTTTTGCTGAAAAAGGTGACAAATTGGAATCAGCTTAAATAACCAGCAGTAGAGAACGGTTAAAATAATACAGTATTTTTTCACAAATAACGTGTACCCACATAAATAACTCGCCCACACACATAATGTGCATAGTGTGCCTAGGAAAATAATGGATGAGGGGGTTGTGCGGTTGGCTAAAGAAACGTATAACATGCACATTATTTACATAAAAAATATGGTATATGATACATCAAATACTATGCAGCCATTAGAACTTATGGAAATATCTTTGTTTTCTAGTTTATATGTATTTGTCCTGTGTATCAATGTCTGAAAGATAATATATGTAATACAAAGCATCAGTTTCTTGGGTGGTGAGATTATACTTATTACATTAAAGATATTTATTTGTAATTTTTAAAGTTTTAAAAAATATTATACCTATATTATAAAAATATAAATATTGTTTAATTATATGACAAATTATTCCTTGTAACCATTCATCATTAATCTTTTCTGTAACTCTACTTACGTGCTGAACTAAAAAGAGTAGTTCTGTTTAGTAATATTAAAGAAAAAAAAGTGTTCATTCTAAACTGAGATGACCTAGACTTAGCTTAAACTGCACATACATATAGGTAGTTCCTGACTTAACGACATATTCAAGCTACCACAAACTACACATACTACAGTCCTTTTTTTTTTTTTGCATCTTATCATTAGTGATATGTACTACATACAGTGTTGCTGTGTGTAATTTGCTAATGTTATTCTCAGATGTTGACTTGCAGATGTTCAATTTTATGACTTACTGTCCAAAACACTGCTTTATAGATTTAGTCAACTAAAACTAAATCAGGGGCTTTAGTTGCTTGAGAACATGGACCCAAACACTGATCACTTTGCTAATTTGATAGGCAGGTTCGGGATGCGGTGAGATTTTACTGCAAAATATATGAAGAAAAAAAGAAAAGGACCATACAGACAACTCTTAATTTTCTGATTAGAAATGTCATTCCCCTTCCCAGGATAGTTCAGATGATCCAGAACCTTCCACAAGTGGAGTTATTACTGCAACTGATAATATGCCAACATCGGCCAACTCTTCTTCATCATTGGAGTATATTTCTACGATTTGCATATTTTTATGTATGAAAATATAGGCAGTCCCCAGATTACAAATGAGTTCTGTTCTTAAGTCTGTCTTTAAGTTGAGTTTGTATGTAAGTCAAAACAAGTATGGTTCGTAACTAACATCAGTCAAATGTTTGTCTTAGTATGTAGTATATATCATACCTTTCCATGCATAAAAAACATTAAAGAAACACTTCCAGATGATACACTAAAACATCTTTAAAGTACTAATACAGTAGAAATAATAATAATGATTTAATGCACATTGCAAAATAGTGCCTGTTTGTTATGAACCGTTGTACATACCTCAAATTTTTAATACAGGCTTTATGGGGGTTGGTTCATAACTATGGGTTATATGTAAATCGGACGTTTATAACTCAGAGACTGCCTATATATATATCTGTAAGTTTATATGTAATGTTTCCAACCCCCAAAGACAAAGATTGGATTTAT